TAGCAAAAATGCCTGTGTCATCAGCGAACAAAGATTTGTGGCAACCCTGAGGCAAATCAGGGAGGTCCGAAGTGAAAATTTTATACAATATAGGCCCAAGAATGCTACCCTGAGGAATTCCTGCTCTAACAGGTAGTCGATCAGATTTGGAATTTTGATAATTTACCTGCAGAGTTCTGTCAGTCAAATAATTTTAAACTAATTTCATAATATAAAGTGGAAAACTAAACTTTTTCAATTTAGCAATCAAACCTTCATGCCAAAGACTGTCGAATGCTTTTTCTATGTCTAGAAGAGCAACTCCAGTTGAGTGGCCTTCAGATTTGTTTGAACGAATTAAATTGGTAACTCTTAAGAGTTGATGAGTAGTTGAATGCCCATGGCGAAATCCAAACTGCTCATCTGAAAAAATTGGGTTCATATTGATGTGAAGCATCATTCTATTTAAAATAATCTTTTCAAAAAGTTTACTTATTGAAGAAAGCAAACTTATTGGACGGTAGCTAGAAGCTTCAGCTGTATTTTTATCCGGCTTCAAAATTGGAACAACTTTTGCATTTTTCCATTTATCAGGAAAGTATGCCAAATGGAAACATCGGTTAAATAATTTTACCAGGAAAGACAAGGTACTCATTGGGAGTTTTTTGATGAGAATATAGAAAATTCCATCATCACCTGGAGCTTTCATATTATGAAACTTTTTAGTTATAGACCTCACTTCGTCCAAATCAGTCCCCCAGGAATCATCAAAAATATTTTCCCGAGAGAAAATATTCAGATAATCCCGAGCAACCTGATTCTCAATAGGACTAGTAAGACCCAAACTGAAATTATGGGAACTCTCGAATTGCTTAGCAAGTTTCTGAGCTTTTTCCAAATTTGTGATCAAAGTTTTATCACCTTCTTTAAGCGCTGGAATTGGCTTTTGAGGTTTTTTTCAATTTTTTTGTGAGTTTCCAAAAGGGTTTGGAATTCGGATCTGATTTAGAAACAATATTTTCAAAAGTTTTATTGCTCAGTGCAGAGAATTGTTTTTTAATTTGTTTTTGCAAATCCCGCCAGATAACTTTCATGGCAGGATCGCGTGTTCTTTGATATTGTCTCCTACGGACATTTTTAAGATGGATCAAGAGCTGAAGATCGTCGTCTATTATAATTGAATCGAATTTTACCTCGCATTTTGGTACTGAGGCAGCTCTTGCTTCAACTATAGAAGTAGTCAGAGATTCAAAAGCATAATTAATTTCATCTTTGATTTGCAAAGGAATGTTTGGATTGAAGTTATATTCCATAAATGTTCGATATTGCTCCCAATCAGCTCTATGGTAATTGAAAATAGAGCTGTTGGGATTAGAAATTATTTCTTGGGATATTTCAAAAGTTACTGGAAGGTGATCAGAACCGAAGTCAGCATGGGTAACCAATTGGCTACAAAGTTGACATGAATCAGTTAAGACCAAATCAATAGTTGAGAGATTTCTTGCTGAAGAAAAGCATGTTGGGCTGTTTGGATATTTTATTTTATTTTTTATTTTATTATTTTTTTATTTTATTTTTTTTTTATTTTATTATTTTTTTTTATTATTTTGTTTTTCTTCATCGGACTTAACGTGTCTAAATGAAGCCTGATGGGGAAAAGCCTAGACAAGGCGTAAAAACCCCATATCTTTTCGAAATACATGAATCACAATAATACAATACAATTACAACGAACATTAATCAAGTCTATAGCATAAAAAAAGTTATCCTCTTATGACATAGAGTTGTCCGTGAATCAGGTAGAAGTCCTCCAGCCAAGATTCCTGGAGAGTCGATATCACCAATAAGTACTTTCGCTGCGAACACGGCCTGACTAATCGTCCGCCTATGTTCTAGTGTTTCAAGACCCAGGAGTTGACAACGACCTTCGTACGGCGGAAGGTTCACAGGGTCATTCCAAGGAAGGTCACGAAAGGCATACCGAACAAATTTCCTTTGAACAGATTCAATCCTCGCTATCCAAACTGCTTGATACGGGCACCATACTACCGAGCTGAATTCCAAGATCGATAATAGTGTAATAACCTGCATAATATTACCATTGGAATTGCTTTGAGCATTATTCCATGAGCGGTGTTTTGCATTAAAATTTCCAATAATGAAGAATTTAGACCTATGACGAGTAAGTTTCTGAAGGTCACCCTTGAGTAAATTCTTTTGCTGGTCTACGCATTGAAATGGCAAATAGGCAGCTATAAACGTAAGTTGTCTAAATTTTGTTTCAACAGAAACTCCCAAAGTTTCAAAAATTTTGGTTTCAAATGAAGAAAGAATTTTATGTTTGATTCGTCTATGAACAATGATGGAAACGCCACCACAGGCTCCATCAAGACGATCATTCCTATAAATGAAATAATTTGCGTCTCTCTTAACCTTATGGTCAGGTTTAAGGAACGTTTCAGTTATAACGGCAATATGCACGTTATGAACTCTCAAAAAATTAAATAGCTCGTCTTCATTATCTCTAAGAGATCGAGCATTCCAATTTAAAATATTTAATGATTTAAAATCCATTACTGAATTTCAAAGTCATGACAATATTGTTCGCAAATTTTTCTCCAGTTTGTATAGCATCAAACATGGAGTTAGATTTAAGCATATCAGTAATCATGTCAATTAATGACTTCTGTAAAAATTCCATTTTAGGAGCAGTAATGCTTCCTAAGTCAAAATTTTCAAAATTCCCGCTTGAATTACGTAGGTTAGTATTTTGATTTCTACCCGGTGCAATAGCAGCATAGGTAGCTATTAACACGTTGAACGTTGTTAGCAGTGAAGGGAGTAGGTATAGATGACAAATTTGAACCTGTGGTGATATTTGTACCTACGGGTACGAATGTAGAATTTGTTCCTCGCTGACCGTTGTTAACAGCAGAGGAATTTGTACCTGGTCGGGAACGTGGAGCGTTTCCTACCTGTCGCTTAGAACGAGATTGTAGGATTGCTTTGCGGGTCTTACATTCCCAAAAATTGGATTTGTGGTATTCACCACAATTTGAACATTTAAATTTCTTAGGATCTTCCTTCACAACAGGACAGTCGTGAGAGGAATCACCACAATTCATGCATTTTTTAGTTCCGTGACCCCATCCCTGGCACTTACGGCACTGGGTGAGGTTTTGGAAATTTCCTCCAGTCTTCCTGAAGTGTTCCCACTTCACTCGGACATGGAGCATAAGGCTAGCTTTTTCTAAGGCCTTTAGGTTGTTTAGTCCACTAGACTTGGAAGTGAACTAAATAAAAATCATTAGAAATCCCGTTGCGCGAATCGCCAGGACGGGATTTCATTTTCATTTTGATTAAAATTTTACCACCTTGAAAGATGAACTGACACAACTCCAAGTAGTTTTGCCAGTTCATCTTTGATCTGATCCAGGGATTCACCACTGGGCAGTCCTTTCATGACAATCTTGAACACACGTTCAGTTTTGGTGTCGTAAATAAAAAAATTGTGCTGCTTCTCAGTAAGATTCTTGAGAAGACATTTAAATCCGTTCAAGGTTTCAGCCAATACACGGCATTCACCACGACGTCCAATTTGTAGTGCAAACTTAACTTTCACGAAGTTCAAAAGTTCCATGCGAAGAGCATGGAAATCGGAAGTGATTATCACAATAGGGGAAATCTTTTTTTCTTGATGGTAGTACTATTCCACAAATGGTTTGGCTATACCCCGAACACGTCGTTCAGCAGTTTTTTTATGGTTTACTTTTATGGTGTTTTTCTCTTAGGACAAGGAATTCATCCAGTGACCTTCCATCGTACACATGAAACACTTGTTTTTAAAGCCGCCATAAAATATGTTCCGTCCTCCGATTGAGGAAGTAAAGCATGGGTGGTATTTGTGTACATATTGTGCCCCAGCCCAGTGGGAAATAATCCCCGCATGATACAGCAAAGGAGTATATTTTCCCGTATGATACGTTAAATTTTTCCGCACTTCCCTTGTATCAAGCTGCACGGTCAATGAGAACGACCCACATTTGAGTTTTGTTTTCTCATAATCGCCAAAAGTGCAGGAACTCAGAGATGAGCACATTTGCCTCATGTTTTTCTGTGGTAAACTTCAACAATCTGCCGGAAAATAAGGAAAATTGACGAACATTTTATTCAGTCTAGGAGTAGTACCAATAGACTGATTGAATCCAATCTTTACTTTTCAAACATTCGGAATTTTTTCCCTGGACAAACCTGGAAAAACATGAGGTAAATTTACTCATCGCTGAGTTCCTGCACTTTATGTGATTTATGAGTGAACTAAACTGACTTTTGGGTCGTTCTCATTGCCCGTGTAGATTACAATTGGCAACACTCGCTCTTTTCAAACGAAAATGATATGTTTAATGTTTTTCATGAAAGCTTCCTTTATGTCTTAGTCTGACATAATGATAACCGATTTCACCTCTCTAATCGTACGTTGTACGTTGCTCCTATCTGGGAAACATGTGCATCCCGTGCTTTCACAAATTTATCAATCTCGTCACAGGTGGACCTGCAGTTATACATACATTAACCAATTTTGTTTCAAATATCGACTACAGAAGGTTCGACAGGTTCACAAGCAAGGAGCAAAGCGCACCATTTTTAAGCACTTCTACAAAAATTCAAAGAGAGCTATGAGCTTTCTATATTGTGCTCAATCATATCCCTGAGACGTCGAAAAATCTTCTAGCTCAATGCTTATTCTGCAGTTGGTGCAGCTCCAATTACCCCAGCAGCGTCTGTATTACTGCTATGTCGATCTTCTTCATTATCTTCGTGGTGTTTTTTTTTTCATTGTTTCATGTTATGCCTGCCTTGTGCTTACTAAACATGGAGCACTTATTTTTAAGGTTATCATAATATAGGTACTTCAAATTGATGGAAATTATCGCTTGCATTAAATGGACGGTCTCGGCTTGTGAAAACTAACATTAGACAGTATATCACGAAAAAAACAAACAAACAAATCATTTCTCCAGGCCGATTCAACCGTAACAACGACAACCCCGACCTTCGAGGATTCCGAACTTCCTGTATCGGGTTCGCTGACGACCACCATCAAAACTGCGGCCAGTACTAGCAGCAACGACAGTAAACCGCAGATCTTGTCCAACATTGTAATCAACGGCAGCAGCACAGCGGCCCTCAATCCGATAGTGAAGAAGGAACTGCAGAAGGTTCTGGCGAGTAATTTGAACAAGCAGAATATTCTCAAAATACAGCCGCAGCAGTCATCACCGCAAACGCAACCAGCAGAAGAGCAATCCGAACAGCCATGTGAACCAACGACGGAGGACGGTGAACCCATCAAGAAGGAGAATGCTTCCGACGAGGAAGCTAAGGCAGTTGAGGATAAGAATGATTCCTTCGTCGTGACGGCGGATTACATTCAACAAAGTGAGTATTTAAAAAAAGGATCTATATTTTGAGGATAATCTATGTTTTGTCAATTCTAGCAATCAAAAATGCCCTGAAGCAGGAGAATCTGAATCCGGAGATTGAGGAGAAGTTGCTGAATCTGCAACGGTATCAGGAGAAGCAGATGAAGACCGATGATCGATCGGCAGCCATTGCTCTGCAGCACAACTACAGCAACATGAGTTCGAACAGAGAGCACCATCACCACCACAGTACACCGGTAAAGTCGAAGAAACGATCGCACCGAGGTGAAGACGACGATGACGACTGGATGATGGATACTCCGAAGCGACGTGGCACGAAATCCGGGGGAAGTTCGCTGAGTTCTGTTGAGCGAAAGCCCCAACATGTCACATCTAGCGATGGGCCTGGTTCCTGCAAGAAACGAACGATCTCACAAAGCGATTCGGCGACATCTGTGTCGAACGCATCGGTAGCAGTTTCGGCTGCAGCAGCTGCAGCGGCGGTGGTGGCTTCCGTTAATGCCGAATGTGCCGCTGCGGCTAAGGATATTGCGGTACCGCTGGAAGTTGAGCCAACAGTTACGCCACCAGTATCGAACGCCCGGTCGGAAGCGGCACGCAGGAGTAACGAGAAGCGAAAGCAGCAACAAGCACTGTTGCAGCAACAGCAGAGGCAAAACAAGTTGCAGGTATGTTTTAGAAGGTTACGTTGAAACCGGTAGAAGTTGTTATGCATGGTACATATTTCCTTAGGCTCAACTGAATCGCCACAAGGAACAACTGAAGAAAGACATTCTCAAGAAGCGATCTCATCTCGAACGGGAATTACAGGTACAAATTCAAAAGGAACTCTCGGCGGAGCTGGCGGCAAGATGCAAGCAAGAACAGCAACAGGTGAAGCAGGAGAACAGTGGGAAGCAGCATGCGGCAACCGCTGCTTCGACGACGCCTGCGGAGAAGGGCAGCCATGCCAAGAAAAAGTAGATCATCTTCATGTTTTTTTGTCCGCCAGACAGTTATAGTAAATTTTGTATTGCAGATCACCCATGTCTGCGTTGAAGGAGAACCAGAAGACACCGAAGCATGCACCCAGTTTGGGTAAACCAGACAAACCACCGAAATCCAGTGGTAAAAAGGGGTCGAAAAAGAAGGAAAAAATCTACTGCCTCTGTCGAAAGCCGTACGATGATACGAAGTAAGTTGACTGAATGCGAAATCCCGACCTTTCCGCCTGACAATTTTCTTTCCTACTTCCCTGTGCAGGTTCTATGTAGGTTGTGACTTGTGCAATAACTGGTTCCACGGAGACTGCGTGGGCATTTCCGAGGAGCAGTCCAAGGAAATCAACGAGTTTGTTTGCAGTGAATGTAAGCATGCTCGGGAGACGCAAGAGCTGTACTGTCTATGTAAACAACCGTACGATGAATCCCAGTAAGTAGTTGACGTTATTTTGTGAATATTTTGTGCAAAATTTAACTTAAATGACCGTTTTGTTTTCCACAGATTCTACATTTGCTGTGATAAATGCCAAGACTGGTTCCATGGGCGCTGCGTGGGAATTCTCCAGAGCGAGGCGGAGTACATTGACGAGTACATTTGCCCGAATTGCCAGATCAACAATTCGGTAAACTTTGCCAACATGAAAACGTTGAGTGATAAGGAGTTTGAGAATCTGAAAAAGTTGATCAAGCAAATTCAGGTGAGGATGTTTTTACATTTGATAGCCTGATAGAAGTTTGATATCTAAACGTTGGCTTGAATTTTTCAGCAACACAAAAGTGCATGGCCTTTCATGGAACCGGTCGACCCGGACGAGGCTCCGGACTACTATCGTGTAATAAAGGAACCAATGGGTGAGTGTATTTTGGGTTACTTGACCTTGATGTCTGTGTTTGGGAATTCCAAATTGAAATAAGAACATGCCGTGTGTTTTTTTTTGGCGGCTTATCAGTTTTTGAAAATAGACTTTTCTCTCGGTGATTTCTACGAATTCAAGACACGTTGAGAACGGAAAATACCCCATCAATATTATTTTCCCTTCTTTTGAGCATGAGCTGATTTTTAACGGCTGTTCTTCAACTGTATTCCGTTGAAGTACAGCTCAAAGGTTTTGGGGTGTTTAGATAAGCAAAAATGCGTTTTTGGAAATTGCTAGAACAAAAGATGTTTCCATGTCGCCCAAATTTATCGAATTCATCAAAAAAGTTGTTGCCTTAATATGTTGACTTCATTTTCAAGTAACTCCTTCCATTTTTGCTATTTTATTGCATTTATCGGTCAAGAGCTGATAAACAGATAAAATCTTTAAACACTGAACTCAGTTACGAGCTATCCACGGAAAATAAACTTGCTTGATAAGACACAAACAATGTTGCATACAAGGAATAGAACACATTCTACAAGTGTGTAAAGCTTAAACATGAATTTTCGCACGATTATGCCAAATGGCCGTTATGCCAAACGGGCTAGAGCCAAAAAAAAAAAACAGCTGAATGCTACATTCATAAATCAACCAAGCCTCCAATAAAACGACTCTATCCCTCCCTGATCTTGTCCCGACAGATCTCCAGAAGGTGGAAAACAAAGTGGACAACCAAAGCTACCACACGCTGTCGGAGTTTATCGGCGACATGACCAAGATCTTCGACAACTGCCGCTACTACAATCCGAAGGAGTCGCAGTTCTACCGGTGTGCCGAGAGTTTAGAGTCCTTCTTCGTACAAAAGATTAAATTTTTCCGCGAAAATCTGGTGGAAAAGAAATCGGCCGGGACGAGTTCTTCGTCGCTGTAGGAAAGAGACGACGATCGGTCGCGGTTCCGATCGTTCATCAATTGAAACGATAAGATGAATTTTAGCGCTATGTGAGCACAATAAAGTTTTACGTTTTATTTATCATGTTTAAATCGATTCCACGCATAAACAACGCAACATAGGAAACCGCATTGATTTCTTAACTTCAAATTTTATTTTTCAATCTGTAGAAACTTTAGAATTGTAGAAGGATAATTTATTTTAAGCATAGTAATTGTCTCGAGCTGGTGGTAGATTTCAACTGTACATATGCAATCTGTTGTAAAATATACATGACCTATGAATTACATATTCTAAACGTGTCCGGAAACATTGGCCCCGGGTGACATGTAAATACAGTTCTTTGAAAACAATTGTACAGTTTACAAATGCCTTCTCCAGACGACAAACATTCATCATCTCAACGAAGGAGACAAACACTGAGGTTTTGTCACCTTATTAAGTTAGATACACGGATATTTTTATGTGTCTCTTTGCTTTAGCTTCTAATGTAAAAACAAATGAAAAAGTTATTGCTGTTAAAAGTTGTTACTAAACCTGTACACTTATTTGAAGATATGCACATTTTTAGTACTCTCACTGATATTTTTACGTCTCTTAATATATTACGATCATGATAGTACAACAACAAACTATTGTACATTTTTCCTCTTTTACCATTCGAAATTTATACAGAAATAGTACGCTAAGTGGCTTGGTTTGTGTTTTGTGCATGTAATTAAAATCGATTTTTTTTTATCTGTAACCTAAAAAGTCTCCATTCAAGTGATTACGTTAGTAGAGTTAGTGTATTTGAGGAATAAGAAGAAAACAGTAGTTGAGCGTTGTGTTCCATTGGGAATGGGGTACAGTCGCAATAAGAAACTAGCAGTGCTAAGAAAATATTATTGTACACAATGAAAATACACATTTTATTGTACAGATTTTGCAGAATAAAAGATTTATTTTCGAAAGAATAGTTTTCAGCTTTCAACATCTATATGATCCGAAATGTCTCACTAGTGTTTTGTGGTTTTAGGTAGAGGAGACTGCGACATGAATGCCATATGGGCAATGGGGAAGAGGTACTATCTTTTACAGTTACCTAAGACTTTTCGATTGGGCCAATACTGCTCTGCAATCTGGAGCCCGAACTACAATAATGGGGCCGAGCGAATTGAATCTATGCAACGACGTTTTCTTCACTTCACGCTCTGTAAGCTGCCTTGGAGATACCCACTTCGTCTTTCAAGCTACGAGAATCGCTGCCAATTGATCAATGTCGAGCCCTTACGTATCCGAAGAGATGTTTTCAGAGCCTTAACCGTCGCCGATACTCTGCAAGGAAGAATCGACTGCGAAGCAATCCTGCAACAAGTGAACATTTATGTTCAACCTCGATCACTACGCAACAGTCTTATGCTAAGACTTCCACTTCTTCGAACTTATTATAGCTTAGGGTACTTGACGCCCAGAAGTGTAAAATTTTAGACTTACAGTATGCAAAAAAAGTTTATCCACCCCCCTACCAATTTACAATTTTTTTTTGTTTTTCTGGTGAAAATCAGTTTAATTTTATGAGTGTTCCTCCATGATTTATCAACTTATGTTTATTCATCACATTTCCATTGAAAATACGGCTTTTATATCTTTTCTTGAGATTTCATGAGATAAATTATGAAAAATTGTAAAAAATTACGCAAAAAAAGTTTATCCACCCCCAAACGGATACTATGATTTAAGTGTGTTTTACAGAGTTTTAGTGTGTATTCTGCAACTTTATCGATTGTAAACATTGTGTCTATCTGTCATTTAGTGCTCTTGAAGTTTTCGTGCTCAAAATTTCAGTTTCGTATTCAAAATTGGAAGTTATTTGTTGCAAAATGCCCAAAAAAGCACAAATTTCGATCAGTATCCGAAATTTGATTATTGAACATCACAAAACTGGCAAAAGCTACCGTGATATAGAAGATATTGTCCAGTTTCACAAAGATACGATCGCTAGGATTGTGCAGATGTACAAAAAGCGTGGTTCTATCTCACTAGCTAAGCGATCGGGGCGTCCTTCAAAAACAACTGACCGAATTGACAGAGCTATCGTGAAGAAGGCGGAGCTGAACCGGGGACTATCAGCTCCGAAAATTGCGAAACAGATTAAAAGCGAGTTTTCCATTCAACTTTCATCACAACCCGTACGAAATCGTCTTTATTAGAAAAGTTTAAGGGCAGAGTAGCTCTTAAGAAGTCATGGTTGTCCGCAATATATATCAAAAAAAGATCACATTTCATGGACCAAAATGTTATGGTATCTGATGGTATGGTATGATGGTATCAATGGTGACCCAAATAGCATTACTTTCGTCTCGTCTGACCAGATCACCTTATTCCAGTCATCACTGGTCCATAAATGTTGTCCTGGGTCCACTTCAATCTTTTTTTTATTTTTTTTGCGGACAACCATGGCTTCTTAAGAGCTACTTTGCCCTTAAGACTTTTCTTATGAAGACGATTTCGTACGGATTGTGATGTCAGTTGAATGGAAAACTCGCTTTCAATCTGTTTCGCAATTTTCGGAGCTGATAGTCCCCGGTCCAGCTCCGCCTTCTTCATGATAGCTCTGTCAATTCGGTCAGTTGTTTTTGAAGGACGCCCCGATCGCTTAGCTAGTGAGATAGAACCACGTATTTTGTACATCTGCACAATCCTAGCGATCGTATCTTTGTGAAACTGGACAATATCTTCTATATCACGGTAGCTTTTGCCAGTTTTGTGATGTTCAATAATCAAATTTCGGATACTGATCGAAATTTGTGCTTTTTTGGGCATTTTACAACAAATAACTTCCAATTTTGATCACAAAACTGAAATTTTGAGCACGAAAACTTTAAGAGCACTAAATGACAGATAGACACAATGTTTACATTCGATAAAGTTGCAGAATACACACTAAAACTCTGTAAAACACATTTAAATCATAGTATCCGTTTGGGGGTGGATAAACTTTTTTCCCGTAATTTTTTACAATTTTTCATAATTTATCTCATGAAATCTCAAGAAAAGATATAAAAGCCGTATTTTCAATGGAAATGTGATGAATAAACATAAATTGATAAATCATGGAGGAACACTCATAAAATTAAACTGATTTTCACCAGAAAAACAAAAAAAATGTAAATTGGTAGGGGGGTGGATAAACTTTTTTTGCATACTGTATACATTTTTAGTAACTTGACAATGCTTTCCTTGTTATTCTCGTTTGTAACTGTAGTATATGTAGTCTGTTTAATCTTGAAACTTTTTTTTACAACACATCATTGGGACCTGGGAGGGAGAAGCAGATAGCACCAGGGCTCCACAAAGTCACTTTCAATCGAAAATCGTCAAATGACGATTAAGCTGTCAAGCATCACTTTCAATTGAAAGTCATTTTGTCTTATCTTCGAGAAGATCCCCGTCAACATCAGCAGAACCACTTTTGATCAGTTTTCATGCTGTTTGTGTTAGCTTGACTCGTGTTTATTTCTTCTTTCATTGTCAAATGAGCTTACTTTTCCATTAAAGCGAAACTGTTCGATCCAAATTCGTGCAGTTTTATGACTTTTGTTGATTGTTCACTCGGTTCATTTAAGCGCATGCGCATAGATCTGTGCACGTGGATATCAAATTTATCATTGTCGGGTTGTTTATTTACCCATCAATATGGGTATTTTTTAATCGTGGTGACGTCTAGAGAATAAAATAAATGCTGTCAAATACTTATCAATAAAGGTATTTTTTTTAATTGGGATGATGTCTAGAGGATAAAAATCGATATCCGACGCCATTTTGGAACCGAAGATGGCATTCGATTTACGAATAAGTGGCAATTTTTGTAGTCGATATGAAGTCTACCGATCGAAAATTGATATGCGACGCCATTTCAAAATTCAAGATGACGGCTTCCGATTTCTGAACAAGTGGGAAATATTGTCAAATACCCATCAAAATTGATATCCGACGCCATTTTGAAATCCAATATGGCGGCTTCTTATTTCAGAATATGATCAATATCCGATGCCATTTCGAAATCCATGATGGCGGCTTCCGGTTTAAGAAAAAGTTGTAAATTCTATCAAATACCCATACAAACGTTTTTTTTAATCAGGGTAACGTCTAGAAGCCGGAAACTGATATTCGACGCCATTTTGAAATTCAATATGGTGGCTTCCTATTTCAGAAAAAAATGGAGATTGGAAATCAATATCCGATGCCATTTTGTAATCCAAGACGGCTTCCGATTTGCGGAAAAATGTCAAATCAGGCATAACATTTCATAACGGCACAAACGGATGTGTAAACAAACTTTCTAAGGTCATTTACACGCGAACCAAAGTACGCCCACGCAAACCAATACCACTTTCGGAACGGTGATAGTTGCCCCTATCCGATGATGTCGTTGTTTGGGTACTTTGGTTCGCATGTAAAGGGCCTTAGAAAGTTTGTTTACAAATGCTTTTGTGCCGTTATCAAATGTTATGCCTGAAATACCCTAAAATATGGTTATTTTCAGAATGGGGATGAGACATAGATGCCAAAAATTGTTTTCACGCCGTCTTTAAATCCAAGACGGCGGCTTTGGATCAGACAAACTGTGAAATACTGTCAAATACCGATCAATGTGAATATTTTAGGAATCGGGGTGACATCTAGAAGCCAGAAATCGATGTCCGACGCCATCTTGAAATTAAAGATGGTGACTTCATATTTCAGAAAAAAGTGTCAAATAGCCTACAAATGGCATCGAATATCGATTTTCAGCATCTACGCGTCGTCCCCATTCCGAAAAAATAGGGTATTTGACAATTTTTGTGAAACTCGATGGCCACCATATTGGATTCCAAAATGGCATCGGATATCGATTTTCGGTATCTACGCGTTTTCCCTGTTCAAAAATAACCATAATATAGGGTATTTTGCACTTTTTCTGAAGCCCTGTGGCCGCCGAAAATACCCATATCATAGGGTATTTAACACTTCATAATACCAATGGCCACTACCTTGAATTCCAAAATGCCGTCGGGTATCAATTTTTAGCATCCACGTGCCATCCCCGTTCCAAAAATACCCTATTGTAGTGTATTTAACACTTTTTCTGAAACCCGATGGCCGCCATCTTGGATTCCAGAATGGCCTCGTTAATTTAATTTTCGTTTAATATAACATAATTTATTATTACTGCATATAATCCCTATCGGCAACCGATATTGTTCGCATACTATCCGGATACTATATGTTGATGTCATTCATTACGTCAATTGAAACAAGTCTTTGCTTCAAATGAAATGAACTGAAGCACTTGACGAACGAAACAAGTGATAGTCCATTCATGTTTGAAAAGAGGTATGTTCATCGTGACTCGATAACAAGAAATACGATGACTTACACGAACATGATATTGCTCGAAATGAAGCGATTCTGCGGAGAGTTCATTTTCTTTTCTTTGTTTCGAAAATGCAGAACCCTGCATAGCACACACGGAATTCATCGTATACTTGTTCTTCTTGTCATGAAAATTTGTGCCGTTGAAATCAAATCAAAACAGGCGTAGCAAAATAGCGTGTATTGCTTTGAGCGTGTAGTGATTGTTAAAGATTGTTCAGTGTGCAGTGAGAAAATGTACTTTTCTGTATGGTATTTTACTATGCCACTAGATGCTCTGACAAAACCATGGCTAATGGTATCTTTCATTATTGATTTGTGTGTATTTTGAATGAATTAAAAAGAAATGGTTTCCCATTGAATAAAATAGCTGAAAAAAAAAACAAAAAAAAACTAATCCTGGTTGTATCTCTTTTTCATTTGCATGCATTCCGGGTGACGAGCGAACATAATAAAGAAGATGGCTTTATCACAGAGCCCCGTATCGGAACGAGTGTATTGTTGAACGACATGGTCTACGATTCAAGATTGGTTTCTGTAATGATAAGTATCACGATCT